TCCTCCTCCTCCTCCTCCTTTGCTCAGTTGAGCTTGTCGTCTCTCCTCCTGAGGTTGCAGCAGGCGAGCATTCGCTACAGCTCGAGGAGGATGCTGGAAGTCGCAGGTCAAGATCTTGGAGTCTACGAGGCATACGCGTGATAGGATCCTCTCCCCCTCCCCCTCTTCCTCTACTACCTCAGCCTCTCCCCTTTTATTGTTTACTGGAATATACGTACAATCATGCAGAATCCTCCTCATTCTCGCTTCGGTCCTCCTGCTTCCCTCCCTCCCTCCCTCCCTCCCTCCCTCCCTCCCACCCTCCTCTACAGCAGTGTGAAGGCAGCCTTGTCCGGTGCCTGAGCGGGAGGTTCTTCAAACATTGTCTTGAATTCCTGCCCTGCATCAGCCAACATCTCCTCCTTCTCCCTTCCTCCTCCTTGTCCTCCTTGTTCTTCCACTGCTCTTCTCCCTCCCCTCTCCACGCCTTCCTCTCGCTCATCCTCTTCCTCTCCTTACTTCTAGTCTCTCCCTCTCCCTCTCCTCACCTCGTAGTCGATGAAGCCACTCTGATCCTTGTCGGCCTCCTGCAGCAGAGCCTCGATGTCGATGGTGAGGGAGAACCTCGTGACCTGAGGGGAGGCTGAGGGCGAGCAGAGAAGGGGAGGCAGGATAAGGGAAGGCAGACAACGGGAGGCAGGACAAGGGAGGGGAGGGGAGGGGAGGGGAGGAGCAAGCAGCAGCAGCTTCACCAGGGATCGAAGTCGGTCAGTGTCAACTTGACCGCTCTTGTCTCGGTTGCCTCCCATTGCTGAACGAAAGTCACGAGGGAAGGCGGAGGAACGGAGGGGACAGAGAGAGGGAGGAGGGAGGGAGGGAGAGAGGGAGGAGGGAGGGAGGGAGGGGACGTGGAGAGGGAGGAGAGGTTTGCCTATCCAAGCAGCGATGGTATCAGCTTCGCTACTGTCGTACTCAGACTGCTTCTTGTGTCTGCTGATGATCGAGACGAACTCTGTGAAGTCTATCGACCCAGACTCATCCGTATCCAGCTCGAGAAACATCTTGGCCATGTCCTGCACCTAGCTGAGCTCCTCCTCCCTCCCCCCCCCATCCTCCTTCCCCCTTCCTCCTCCTCCTCTTCCACTTCCTCCTGCTCCTCCTGCTCCTCCTCTCGCTTGCCTCATCACTTGGATTCTGACCCATCGCCATCAGCGTCTTCTTGAGCTCCCAAGGTTCGATGGTGCCTGAGTTGTCAGCGTCTAGAAGCGTGTGAGTGTGTGACTGCAGAAGGATGAACGTAGGAAAGAGAAGGAAGAAACAACAAAAACAGATGGAGGGTAAGACAAGACATGTTCAAGAGAATGGCAACATCACTCAGTGAGTGATATCATGATCTCAGGAACATCAAGAGATGTTGACTTCACCGAACTGTGAGAAAGCTTCTCGGCACTTGGCGAGCTCATCTTCAGTCAGACCGCCGATGCCTCCCATGTTGCCTCAAGATCACCTCCACTTCCTCTGCTCTGCTTCGCTCGCCCCTCCCCTTCCCCCTCACCTCTCCTCCTCTTCTCTCTTCTTCTCTCTCCTCCTCTTCTCTCTCCTTCCCTCTCCTCCTCTTCTCTCTCCTTCCCTCTCCTCTTCTCTTCTTGCTCAGTCGTTCACCAGCTAGCTTACACTGCCTGTCCGTTGAGGTTCACTTGACAACTTTGACAACTTTTTATAAGTTCCCCTGCTTGTCGTGCGTGCGGCCGTCGCTTGCGTGGTTGGAGTGCCGGTTTTCGCTGCCTCCTTCGTTTCCTAGTATTTTTATTGAGGCGGGTTTGTAGGCTTTATCCTCCCCCTCCTTTGTTTGCTCCGGTTTGTCCTTCTTTTTCAGTCAATAAAGAAGATCGATAATTTCAAAAGGTCTCCAACTCGAGTCCTATGCTGGAGTGACTGGATGTCTTGCTGCCCCTCATCTCGCGGTTCTCTACACTGAGGCGGGTTTGCATAACTAGTCCTTCCTCGCTGCTACTTGACCTGCTTGCCACCGCCTGACTTGCGCGACCTGAGAAGGTCAGCAGCCGTCGGGATTTTCTCAACTGCTCTCCCCGCGTCGCTCCGCTTGTCGTCGCTCTTCTTGTCCTGCCTCGAGGTGTCTTCCTCCTGCTCAGTCTTGAGCTGCTTGGTGTCAGGCTTAGAGTTTGAGCGAGGAGAACGTCTGGAAGGACTGACGGAGTTTCTTGTGCTGAGGTCATGTCTAGAAGAGTATGTGTTGTTGTTGTTGCTGCTGCTGCTGTTGATGTTGTTGATGTTGTTGATGTTGTTGATGTTGGTTCGAGCAGTAGGGCTGATCGGTTGAGGAGAGAGCCATCTCATGCTCTCGAAGTCTCCAGCCAGATCTTTCCAGCTGTGGAGCTCGTCTTCCAAGAGCCTCTGCTTCTGCCCCTGGTACCACTGCACCTTGTCCGAGCACACTTCGCTCTGCAGGGACCTGCACTGCAGTTCCAGCTGCCGGCACTTCTCCTTCTCTGTCAGCAGGTCCTGCACCAGATGTTGGAAGCTGTCGATCCGCAGCCTGATGTCCTTGGCAAGCGACTCAACGTCCTGCATCTCCCGTATCCTCTCGCTCAGCGACTCCACCTCCCTCTGCAGCGCCGCGTTCTGCACCCTCAGCTCGGTGCTGCCTATGATCGCCGAGTCGTTGGACTGGTTGTGCATGATCGGCGGCTCTAAGGTCGGCATGAAGGCGCTGTCGACAGGTAGCCGATCGCACATGTAATTGACCTTCTCCTGCAGGGATTGCAGGGCCTCCGACAGCATCTGCATCCCTTCCCCCTCAGCCTGCGCCGGGCGATCCCGAGGGAAGTCGTCGGGGGAGAGCTGAGAGGGGAGGGAGAGCTTGAGGTCTTGTAGCGCCAGCCTCAAGGTCTCGTCCCGCTCGATCTGCTTCTGGAGCAGCTCGTTCTCCTTCAACGCCTCTGCTCGACTTCGCTCGAGGTCAGCCACTTGCTGTTGCAGCGCCGAGAGCTGAGCAAGAGAGGACGAGGCCTCAGCCTCCTTGACGCGGAGATCCTTGCTCAGCGTGTCATTCAGCGAGTCTTTCTCTTGGATCATGGTGAGAAGCCGCTCCCTCTCGCTCTCCGACTGCTCCATTGACTTGGCTATGTAGGCCTTGAGGTGGTCGAGAGCAGAGACGACCTGTCGGTTCATGTCGGTTGGATCCTGACGGCATCAGTCAGTCGATAAATGCGATCGCCAAGAGATCAAGTCAAGATGAGACCTGCGAGGCAGCTCGCTCTTGTAGTTTCATGTTCTCTTCATAGGAGTCTTCTAGCTTCTTTCGTAGGTCAAAGATGGTGGCTTGAAGTTTGTCTTTGGTCTTGCAGCGGAAAGCAACAACTCAGCACAAGTCGCTTGTGAGAGCGGAACAAGTCAAGTCACCTTGGTGAACTCATCATGGTTCTTCTGCATGAGGTCCTTTGTCTTCTTGAGGATCTCCTGCATTCGTCTCCCGTCCAGCTGATTCAAGGACCCGCTCATCTCAACATCAACCACAAGGTCTTCGTAGTGCTTCTTCGCCTTGAGAGCATCTGTCTCGATCTGGTTGATCTGCTCGATCAACGAAGATATCCTCTGAGAACCATTACGTCAACGATGATTGTCAGGTTATGCTCGTTCAACCACCTTGTCTCGTTCCAACACCATGTCTTTCAGCGACTTGTTGTCTCTTGCAAGCTTGCTGAGGATGAGGGCGTAAGGCTGGGAGGAGGAAGCAGAGCGAAGGACTTCATAGGCCTGTCAGGTGACGTCGGCAAGGGTCTGCGCAAGCAAGCAGCAGTCTCACTCGCTCTTCGGCGAAGGCGCTGCTTGAGGGCTCGACCACCAGCTTGACGAAGACCGGGTCGCTCACCAGCACTCGAGCCGCTCGCCGCATCTGAAGGTCTCGCTGGGACTGCAGCTCAGGTGAAAGGTCCAGCTCCTCCCTCTGCTGCCCTCCAGCTCCGTACGGCGTCCGCATGCCCGCGTAGAGGGAGGCTAAGAAGCTGTCGTCCTTGTTGGTGCGAGGCGAAGCAGGAGGGCTCGGGGTATTCCATGCTCGATCGGGCTTCGTGAACATGTTGTCCCTCCTCGTCGATCCCGCTGTGCGCTCTACGTTGATGTCCATCCAACTCTTCATCCCTGAAGCAAACTGCCTCTCCTCTGCTCTAGTTCGATGAGCTCAATGACATCTATGACGACACTCCTCCTGAAGGTCAAAGTCAAACTTCATCTCATCGTCTTCTGATAGAACAGCAACAAGACGAGTATGTAAACTCTCAAACTTGACCACGTGCTTAACCTCAGCCACTGTTCACCTCAACTCATCACCTTCTCCCCTCTTGCTATCCATCCTCCTGTCCTGTCCTTTCAGGCTCCCCTCCTCTCTACTCTCTGTCTCTGTCTCTGTCTCTGTCTCTGTCTCTGTCTCTGTCTCAATCCCTTCCTTACCTCCCTCCCTCTCTGTCTCTCTGTCTCAGTCTCTCTCCTCTCCTGTTCTCCTGTTCTCTCCTCTCCTGTTCTCTTCTCATCTCTTCTCTGCTCTGCTCTTCTGTCCTCTGCTCTGCTCTTCTCTTCTCTTTTCTTCTCTTCTGTCCTGTCCTGTCCTGTCCTGCCCTGTTCCCTGCTCTTCTCTTCTCATCTCATCTCATCTCATCTCATCTCATCTCATCTCTTCTCATCTCATCTCACCTCATCTCATCTCATCTCATCTCATTCTCATCTCATCTCATCGTCATCTCATCTCATCTCATCTCATCTCTTCTCATCTCTTCTCTTCTCTTCTCTTCTCTTCTCTTCTCTTCTCATCTCATCTCATCTCATCTCATCTCATCTCATCTCATCTCATCTCATCTCATCTCATCTCATCTCATCTCATCTCATCTCATCTCATCTCATCTCATCTCATCTCATCTCTTCTCTTCTCATCTCATCTCATCTCATCTCATCTCATCTCATCTCATCTCTTCTCATCTCATCTCTTCTCATCTCATCTCATCTCATCTCTTCATTTCCTCCGGCAAGTCTCGGCTAGCAAACTTTGCTCGCAACCGTCGGCCCTTACACCTACTACCCCCACGCCCTCTTTCACTGTACTTCTCTCCTAACTTCACCCCTCCCCTCGCCAATATGTTCTTCCACCCCTCTGTAACGAATGAATTTGACAGGAATATGAGGGGTAGGGTACATCACATAATCGGGGTGGCCTCATCCATGCCAGGAAATTGTTAGAGAAAGTCCTGCTCCTGCTCCTGCTCCTGCTCCTCCTCCTCCTCCTCCTCCTCCTCCTCCTCATCATCATCATCATCATCATCATCATCATCATCCTCTGGCCTTGATCCTCCTCCTGTCTTCATCCTCCTCTGCTCTCTCTCTCATTCTTGACTCTTGTTCCCATCATCCTCTCTTTGTTCTCCTCGCTGATTCCTGCTCTCATTCCTTGCCATTACTCTCAGTCCTTCCTCTCCCCAAACTGATCTCTTCCCCTGCTTGACCCGCTCTTACGTTTCTGTCTCTCCTTCAATTCTCCTGCCCTTTTTTCGCTCTTCGCGTCCCCTGCAGCCTCCGACCTCACCATGAGCTCGTATGCCACTCAGCCTCTTTTCTCTCAAGCGCTACCAGCCTCCTGCTCGTCTCTTTCCAGCGAATCCTTCTCTTCAACGACCTCCTCGACTTCTCCATCGGCGTTTCCAGTTGACGTGCTCTCGCGAGCATCCCGTTACCTGTGCTACAGGACGCGAGATGAAGATACCGATGTTGTTCTGGTCTTGGGATGCGGGTCTACTGCCCCTCCGACCCTAGCGGCTGAACGAGCATACAAGGCCATGCACCGGCAGGAGGAAGAGGCGAGAAAGATGCTGCTGATATTCAGCGGTGGGATCGGGAGGTTTACGAAGAAGCTCGTGGACATGGTGGAAGAGGAAGGGATGAACGTCAAGAGGACGGAACCATCGATGTCGCCATGCTCAGGCCTTGACGCGAAGGGCGTCTATGTGACACTCGAGAGCTTGTCGAGTTTGATAGGGGACGAGAAGAAGAAGCTGCTGGTGGACGAGGAGCAAATGATGAGGTACAACAGGACAGGAGGAGAGAAGAGCGAGGTAGAATCGCTCCTGACCGAGGCCGATATCTTTCTTGAGATCTTCCTCAACAAGCTCAAGGCCTTGTATGGGGACGAGCTCCTCCCTCCGATTCGTCTCTTCGACAGACACTCCCTCCCCTCCCAACTCATCCTCTCCAAGGGCCTGACCATCCTCGTCGAGTCGGCGAGCACCAACACAGGGGAAAACATCATGTTCTCCCTGGTGACTCAGCTTCTTGTGTTGGAGGATGAAGATGCTCATGATAGCTTCAGGACATCTTGAAGTCTGCTGGGTTTGACCACAAGGCATACAGGACATGTCTCATCGATCACCCGTCAGCGCTCTTGGCTCTTTTCATTCTCTTCTTGTAACATCGCCGCAGGCTCCTTCAGAGGAGAGCGTACATGGTGTTCCTCCGTCACTTCGGCTTTCATCCCACCTCCTGTCCACCTGAGGTGAGAAGAGAAAATCTTGCTGCTGCCGCCGCCGCCAATGCTGCTGCTGCTGCTGCTGCTGCTGCTGCTGCTGATGATGATGATGATGATGATGATGATTCTGCTGGGAGGCTCTAACGGCCCTGATGCAGTTAAAAGAGGTATCGGACATGTCCGAGGAGGAGAAGAAAGAGACTCTAGTCACTTGCAGCGGCGAATTCCGGCGCTTGCTCCAGTATTCCAAGCTCGGTTTCTTCGAGCTGCCCGATGACTTCCCGCTCGAGCTTGCAGAAGAGATGATGTCGCTGCTGCCTTGAGCGGGAGCTACGAGTCGACCGACGTGTCATGTTGTGTATCGTTGAAGTGAGATGCTTGCAACTGTGTGAGCATTATTGCCGTCGTGCAGGCTCCTGCATTGGCTTGTCGTCTGTCATGGCAGGAGGAGGGAGGAGGTCGAGGAGCTTCTTACCTTGTCTGTTGTGCTGCTCTCGTCTACGTTGGCTCCAAAGGACAAGTGTGCTGTTGTAAGCTCGATACATTCGTCCTCGGGGTCCGACCTCTCCTGCTGCTACCACACGGCAGTCAGCAAGTCGCTCGCGCCAGCAGCGCTGCCACCTCGTCGAGGATATTGTCGGTCATGAGCTTGTTGGGGATGAGCAGAAAGGTGAGGGGAACGGCGATGAGGGGCAGGAGGCAGTGGCACACGAGTACCTGAACGGGAGGGTCAGGGGAGCAGAGGGAGAAGGAGGAGGAAGAGCACGAGGGTGTTGAGGTTGTCGAAGTTGCAGGGAGCTGTTGTCTTGATGCCAGCGTACTTGAGGGGGGCAGGACGTGAGCACTCGAAGTCGCGACCCTGGAGAGAACCTGAATGGCATAGATGCCGATCTGCGATGAGACGACTCCTCCGAAGTTCTGAAACCCTGCGGCCCCCAGTCAAGCTCCTCCTCTCTCGTTCAGCTGCACACCAGCTAGCAGAGCATACACAGTTGACTCCAGCCCCTGACCAGCTGTAAGCTGCAACAACCTCAGGTGTGGGGGACCTTTGGAACGAGCTTCGACGTCAAGACCAGAGCTGGCATGGCCGCAAACATCCCGACGGCTGGGCCGATGACGGCATCTCCGAACATGTAGAAGACCTGAACATCGAAGTCAAGATCGCAGATGGCGAGCGCGAGGAACGGGGTTGAGACGAGGTGGTGATGGTGAAAGAAGCAGGAGACGAGGGAGGAGGGAGGAGGGAGGAGGGAGGAGGAGGAGAAGAACGAAGGAGGCAAGAAATGTGTTTACCTTGTCGCTGACGTTGATCGACTTGTTCCATCGTGCGATGATGAGAAGGTCGAAGGCAGAGGCAACTATCTGACACTTCCGTCACATACTTTCGCAACCGCCCCTCCCACCCACCCACCCCACCTCCCCTGCCTCCCCCCTTCCTCCTGGTCCTCGTCCTGCTTCCCCCACCGCCTTCGCTTCCCTTCCTTCTCCTTCCCCATCCCCTTACTTGTAAAAGTGTCGTCACCCAAAAGAGCTTCCTAAAGGTCCAGCCACTCATGGTCGCCTGAAGCAAGTCAGATCCTGCTGCTGCTGCTGCTGCTGCTGCTGCTGCTGCTGCTGCTGCTGCTGCTGCTGCTGCTGCTGCTGCTGCTGCTGCTGCTGCTGCTGCTGCTGCTGCTGCTGCTGCTGCTGCTGCTGCTGCTGCTGCTGCTGCTGCTGCTGCTGCTGCTGCTGCTGCTGCTGCTGCTGCTGCTGCTGCTGCTGCTCCCGCTCCTCCTGAAAAAACATTTCCTCTCACCTGAAACAAGACGATTCCGACCCATCCTGTACAAGCTCCCACCACCCACGTGTAAGTGTTGTAGTACGTATAGTCGAACGCCGGCCCTCCCGGCACACACTGCTCGTCTGCTGTAAACCAGAAGTCTTGCGCGCCTCCTATGTTGACATAGAGAACTGGAAGAGGAGAGGAGGAGGAGGAGGAGGAGGAGGAGGAGGAGAAGGAAGTCAGGAAAAGAGTCGAACATCAGCATCATGGGAGTCACCTGAAGACAAGAACATGTAGAAGTTGCACTTCGCTAGCATGGGAGGCAGCCACAGGAACGCCAGGACTGAGAGCAAGAGCATACAAAAGAGCGAGTAGATGAGCTGCAGGAGATGAGAGTCGAAGTACAAAGTGTCGATCAATCCGTTCCCTAGCGCCGCAAGCGCCATGATCATGCAGTAGCTGATGATGTAGGGATGCTTCTTGAGCAAGCTCCAATCTACTCCTCGCTTCTCCGGAGCAACTTTCTTGAGACTTGGAGTCAGAGCATGTGAGAGAAAGACAAGCAGCAGCAGCAGCAGAGACAACAGGAAAGGAGGACGAGGAGCAGCAGCAGCAGGGGCGGTGGCAGAAGCAAGAAGAGGGAAAGGAAGATGAGGCGGAGGAAGAGGCGAAGGAGGACGAGGAGGTGGATGAGGGTGAGGAGGAGGAGGAGGAGGAGGAGGACTGGGTGACCTGATCTTGCAAGAACCCGAGGGAAGTAGGAAGGATGATGCTGGCGGCGAGAGGAATGCACAACCAGAAGATGATCTGGGGGTCGAAGTTGTCGGCGATGGGCCCCACAATGAGAGCGGCGACGAGCGACCCCAGCTGGAAGCACCCCCACACCAGCGACACCATGGACGAGCCTGTTTGCGGCTTCGCCTGCATCAGGGAGGCGTACTTGCCCTCGCAGAGGAGGTCGGCTGTAGCGATCTGGAAGTTGGCCAGGAAGAAGAGAGCGGCTGCGACCATAGGGGAGCGGATGGAGAGGGAGGCGAGGAGAAAGAAGGCAAACGTCCCGACGACAGAGAGCAGGATGATGTAACTTGACTTGTGATAGCCCAGGAGGGGGTACGCGTCGGAGACGACACCGATCGCTCCCTTGATCGCCCATGGAGTAGAGGAGATGGCGGCGACAGTCTGGCAGGCAGCCCCGTCTGCACCAAGGAGAACAATTTTCATCAGGAGGGTAGGAAGGAGTTTCTGACGCACCTATCCCCAGCGTCTTCTTGCAGTAGGACAAGCGCACCAGCCCCATGGCGGAAAGGAGGAGGCCCTTGACTGCGAGGTAGTTGCATACAATCATCGTACAAAACTTCCAGCCAAAGTTGGCAACGAGTTGACCGGCAAAGTGTTTGAAACCTCTGCAAGAGCTATCAGTCTCCACAACACCATCCCTCTCTCAACACCTGTACGGGTGTAAGATGTAATCGCTCACTGTTGGCTTCTGCGGCAGCCTGTATCCGTCGCTACCTTCTGGGACAAGAACCTCGTAGTCCTTGGACGGGTTGCTCCTCGATATTCCATGGAGAGCCGTTCGAATCCGCTGCCCTCCACGCTCTATCCCCTTCTCCAGATGAGACAATCCGGACTTCTTGACATGAGGCATCGGAAGATCTTCGTCTTCGATCTCCTTCTCAGTACCACTCATCTCCTCATCAAGATCCTTGATACACCAGATCAAATTCCACCGATCACCTCGGTCAGCGCTGCATGCCCGTCACCTCCTGCTTTTCAAGAAGGTCATGCCTCATGCATTTGCTCTCGTCAGCGCTGCTCTATGTACTCTCCACGCTCTCCTCCTCCTCCTCTTCCTCCTCCTCGTCCTCCTCCTCCTCTCTGTTGCCTCTTTCTCCCTTCCCCTAAACACTCCTTTCCTCCCTGTCCTCCTGCTACTGATGATTTTAATCTTGTCCCTGCCGCCCTTCCTGATCTTCTTTCTCCTCCTGCCAAATTCTGCCCAGCCTGCTCCTGCTGCTCCTGCTGCTCCTGCTCCTGCTCCTGCTCCTGCTCCTGCTCCTGCTCCTGCCTCATCCTGCCTCGTACCTCCTACCTCCTCCTCTTCCTCCTCCTCCTCCTCCTCCTCCTCCTCCTTCGAATCTTCTACCACCCTGCCGAGCTCATGTTCCAAGCGTGAGTTTTACAGTGTAAAAAAAACCAACGGGCCGGCCCGGCTGTTGCCGGCAGCCCGAGTGAGGCACTGAGAAATGAAAGTCGAGGTACTATTGGTTTAAAAATCTTTTTTTCTCAAAGTTAAGTTAAAAATCAGTACGAGGACAATGTTGTTTTAGTTAATAATAATTCACTACTGTGTGCTGAGTCATGATCGCCGATACCGGTACTTGATGGGGTGAATTGGGGGGTGGGGGTAGCGATGCGCTCACTATGACCGCCGCCACCTTTGCGGATGTTGCTGCACTTGAGCTTGCACCGAGCACGTGGGCGATTTGTACCGGCTCTTGGCACTTGGTACTAACTTCGTGGGCAATTTGTACCAGCTCGTGGCACTTTGTACTAACTTCCTGAAGAAGCTGACTTATTTGTACCACGAGCACTGGATCTCAATCGCCGATTCGTACTAGAAATCGAGTATTGCTGAGAGTGACAGGTACAGATATTAGTACCTGATTTATATAAATTTTGTACTAGTGAAGATGCAACTTTCGGCCACAGGTGTGCTGGATTTGGGAACATGGTACCCCTAACCCCCCCTTATGACCACAAAGGTACGGGTGAGTGAGATTAGAGGGTGGATTATAAGATTTTCGGGGGATGTTTCCCTCTTCCACCCCTGCTCTGGAAAGAGGGGTCCTAGCAACACGACTATCTGTTCTCCCGCCCGATCCCCACCAGTCTCTCCTCTCCTCTCCTCTCCTCTCCTCTCCTCTCCTCTCCTCTCCTCTCCTCTCCTCTCCTCTCCTCTCTCCTCTCCTCTCTCCTCTCCTCTCCTCTCCTCTCCTCTCTCCTCTCCTCTCCTCTCCTGTCCTCTCCTGTCCTGTCCTCTCCTCTCCTCTCCTCTCCTCTCCTCTCCTCTCCTCTCCTCTCCTCTCCTCTCCTCTCCTCCCTTCCCCTCCTGCTCTCTGCTCTCCTCTTCTGCCCTCTGTCTCCACATCCGCCTCCTTGTCTTACTTCTCGTCGCAGAATCGCGTCAGGAAAGTGGTCGACTGCATGTTCCAGCAGGAGCAGGAGCACTTCCTCCGCTCGGGTCTCGACAGCCGCCAGACTCAGGTGGAAGGCAGCTGGGAGGTGGGAAGGAGCTGAGCACGTGCTGGTCAGGTCAAGATGAAGTCACTTGCCATGGCGCTTCTAGAGCTGGGACATCACTTCAAGCAGGTGAGCTGCTGTGACTCGAAGTTGGGTCCTTGTTCCTCTGCTCTGCTCTGCTCTGCTCTGCTCTGCTCTCTGCTCTTGCCTATTCTTCTGTCGTCTCTGCTCAGCTCTTGTCTTCGTCCTCAATTCACCTCTCCTCTCTTCTCGTCCT